GTCGGAATCTGCAATACAAGTCAAGGCATCAGAGAAATTGTAAATTTTCAACAAAATCCAGGAATTTAAAAGAGCAACAAATTTTAAAAAATTTAATGAGCCAACAATAAAATATGACGTAATAATGCGACTAGCGTTCAGTATAATCAAATAACAGTAAAAACTACAAGTGAACAGATTTTTGCACAAACAGGCACTTATACCTCGTTTACAAACATTAATTAAACCATCGTATTTATGGGTGAACCAAAAACAAGTTCCTTAGCAATCTCAGAAGTTCTTGTACAGCTAACATGGAGAAAATACCCATAAAAGCATTACATTAAAAATTAGTGCAAACATTTACAGTTTAACTAACACCATAGGTACAGAACAAAGATAAGCTCTAAGCTCAAACAGACAACGCTGCCCATATCAGCATTATATTCTGTCAGTCAGTGGAAACACTGTCGTATTCAGGAATTTCTAGGGAATGGCAATGTGCCAATGCTTGGCATTTGACAACTTTGTAGTTCCAATACTACTGTTCCTAAAATAACAGTGTATAAAAGATGTGGCTCATCGTATAGGACGTGCTATATATTTATTATGCTATATATATTATTATTATTCTTTCATGGTTGAAACCTTCGACAAGAATTTGAACAATTTAGTCAGTGGCAATAATACGCTAGGATTTTGTGGTTTCAAACGTTCAGATTCTACAAAGAAACTTTTCAAGATATTTTTGACAGATATTCTAATGTCAATTTGCACTGGATAAAATTATCTAGAAAAAAACAGAACGAGTTTCCGGTAGCGTCGCTTTACTAATTAGCACAAGAAATTTATGAACGTTTCTTACCTTAGCAATTCTTGTTGCCTAATTTAACAGCACTTTTACTCTTCGTTTATAAATTGCCTCATTGTCAGATATATCTGTATTTTGATCTGTTTCTTAATCAACTCTTTCAAGCTTAATTTCTGTCATCAGCTGTTCATAGATTAGAAAAATTTGTCAAAAAAGGAATAAGATCACTGTTTTCTTATCGCTAAAGTATATCAGCATGTTTCCAAGAAGCAAATGTACATAACCAACGCTCAAGCTTTCTTTAACAAATTACTCCTCACAGATCGGAGTCTCAGATGCAGCAAACAGAAAATGATTTAATATCAAAGACAAGTGCAATAAACACTCAGAAATACTTCTTGATATGTCAAATTTTTTACCTCTATAGTAAGCTCAACAGTGCTGCATAGTCATAGCACGTTTTACTCCACTTCTATACTCTTTTTGTACCTTCTCAAAATTCTTTTCCATCTCTACATTTCCAGTTTTGATGACTTTTGACATTTGTTACTAAAACTATATGTTTTTGACGCTTTTTTTAAATTAGTCGTCTCGCAAGGAAAATTTCTACAGTCGAAATGCCCGACGAAAACGCACTTTCTTAATAAAACCCTAAAATTTAAAAAATACATTGTTCAGTGCCGACAAAACAGCTATCACTTTTCTCTTAACATCATTCTTCGACGTGGATCTATCAACAAAAGTACAGCGCAGAGAATGGTGTTCTCGAAGTTAGCAAAGTGCTGCATTTATAAACCCATAACCGTTTTAGTACTGTAGATAAAAAAAACAATTTGAAAAAGTTTGAGGCGAAATAACTTCTTTTTTCAAAGCTATCAGAAGGGCGAAACGTTCAACAAAATATCTTCCTATTCCTAAACTTCAAAGCAGTTTAGAATTAGCAGTTGAGAAGATTGGAAACAACTGTTTGTTATCTTAAAGTAAATAGAATCGTTATCGAAAAAAATCAAGCGAAAAGCTACTAACTTTCATTATCAGTTCTGAGTATTAAAATAAAAATATGTAATTATAGCATGATATACGAACAAATTTAAAAAAGTTAATCATGTCATTTGAAAAAAAAAAAAAACACTAGCTTTTGAAAATTTAATGAGTATAATTGTACTAAGAAGTTTCAAGAGGTTTTTTCTACTTCTAAAACTAGGTTATTTCTCAACTTTTATGGATGAAAATATGTAGGCTCATTTTCTGGTAATCAGATGGGTCTTTCAGCCCTGGTTCATAGACAAAATCAGATTCCTGTTATTTGTTAATAGTTGTGCAAAAAAAAAAAAATACATAAAAATAAAAATAAATAAATAGATTTTATTTCAAACCATGAAGGTCCTGGCGGGTAACCAGACCATCGAAAGTTCAGTAAAATACTTGAAATTCTAATGAAGTCTCATAGAACCTTGTGAGGAAGTTAGCGACACCTATCTACATATATAGTTCAAACTTCATAAATGAATTATTTGTTGTGCCTCTATGTTGTTCGCCGGATCCATAGTCTAAACCCTTAATTTTTCTGGGGACGTTTTAACCAAAAACACACTACTGCACTGTTGTAGTCCTCTTGAAAAAAAAAATGGCTTTCTTTTGGTTCTTATAACAGCTGTGAGATCCGGTACTAGTGAAAGTTATTTTCCTCCTTTTCAGAAGCTGGGAGATTCAGCAAAAAATTGGCAAAATTCCATATTCTTGGGAGCTTTTCATCTGAAACTTCGGGTTAGGCGAAAAGTAATGTTGCCGTAAACTTTTTTCTCTTTGTCGCGTATCAAATGCTTCAGGTTGGAAGGCCTATGGTTTTTCAAAAGCATGATATTCAATATTAGATTTTCCATCTCTAGTGTTTCAAAATTAACGGATATGGAAGATAGTCTAAATTTAAGTCTTTACGTCCTTTTTCAATGCAGTTTAGTTTAAGTGCAGTCGTTAAACTTTAAGTGACAGCTTTAATTTTTACCAATAAAATAGTTAATTGTGACTAAATTAAACCGCGTAACAACTAATATTAATTGTCATAATTACAACTGTATTTATAATGGTCCTCCAATGTTCGGTATTTTGCAGTATTCACTTGTAAAAGGACAAAAAAATCCATTGTAATAAGAATTGAGTGGTGGAGTATTCTTGTAACTTGTTATGCTACACTGAATGTAAAGAATAAAACTGTAAGATTTGGGAAGTTGAAAGCTACAGAAAAAAAGATGTCAGTCGAAATGGACATCTTTTACAATACATGATTTCTTATTTGTAGGAACTCAGCGAAAACCAGAACTTGAGCAAAATATGCGAAAAAACTCATCCTAGCATCCGCAAACTTTTAAAATGCAATTGGTTCTTTTTTATTGTAAACTTTAGCTGTGGACAGTTTATGACTAATTTTATTTCATTCTAATTTTATTTCATTTTTGCTTTGTTTCTTTGATGGTATCTGTGTGTTTGTTATTCAATAAACATCGGCACTAAACAAGGATTACGTACTTTTTATGCTTTTTTTTTTGCAAAAATCTTAGTTTCTAATCAACCGCTGATTTAGTTTCAGGCGCTAATGGGTATAACAAAGCAATATCTTCGTTATTCATTGTCTGGTGTGTGTAATATCATAGGATCTAACAATGGAATGTTGGCAGCAGTGAACGGTAATGTATGTGCAGTTTCTGCTTGCGAAAATGTTAATTTCTACAATTTAAGAATATGTGAAAAGGCAAGCTTCTTATTAGTTAATTTGCTCAATATTGCATATTCGTTTTCATAAACTTTTTTTGACTCAGCTCTTTCTTTATTACAAAGTAGTCTTTATCAGTTTGGAGATTCAGTTATGTAGCAACTTTTGACATTTTTTGTTTTTTGATTTAGATTAAAGAACTAAAGAATTCTGAGAAGGCAGTCACAGCCATTAAATTCAGCCATGATAAACGCTATCTCGCTGTTGGATATTCTGACGGTACCTTGAAACTCTTTGACAGATCTAGCGAAGGTAAAGAATTCAGTTAGCTTTTAGTGTGTATTCTGGGCTTTTGATAAAAAAGGAAGTTTTGCATAAATTGTCTCTGGTTTTCACCTTAGATGATGATGCTGTTGACTGACGTATGTTGCGAAAGATTACCTGAGAAGATTATATAAAAAACCATGCATTTTAAAGGTTTTTATTTTTTCCTTTTAGGAATAAGAGCAGTGAACATTATGTCGTTTCTGTGTTTTTTTTGTGCTCTACTTTTAGATATACCTTTTCAGACGATTCTCCATTTGTCACATTTGTCGGCCACAAAACTGGAGTCAACTGTCTAGCATTTAGCCTAGATGGTCTAATGTTGGCATCTGGCGGCAAAGTAATTTTTCAAAATTATTAATTAACGTTTTTTCAAGCCAGTTTCAAGGATTCTGTTTTATACCGTTTATGCCTGATGAATTGTTTCGTGGATATAATGTATATTAGTCCGTAATTATTGTTGTTCCGCATATACTTGTTTAGTTTTACTTGGGACTATAAATTTACGAACAGGATTACACACTTTCCTTCATTTGTCTTAGGACTCAGTAATAATTGTTTGGGATATAGTTAACGAGTGTGGAATGTTTCGATTGAACGGTCATAAAGCTTCTGTTACTCATCTGCAGTTTTCCGCAGACGGCAATTTTCTTATCAGCAGGTAAAAATCTTCTACATATTTTCTTCAGCTTTTCCTTGATATCTTTTTTATGGTAATTTCTGTTTTAGTTCAAAAGATTCCTTTGTCAAGTTCTGGAATCTGTCTTCACAAAGTTGCTTTTATACTTTAACAGAAAGTCGTTCAGAGGTAAGATTTAATTGATAAACGCTCATAAACTTCAAACATTTGTTGATCCAGAACTTGTATACTTTTCTTTTTTGCTTTGCTTTGGAGTTTATATTATACCTTATTTTGGTTGGCAAGCTCATTAATTTTATTTGAAGGCATTTGTATAATTGCTTTAAAATTCTCTTCTTTCAGGTTTATACATTCGCTCTCTTAGACTCTGATAATCTTCTTTTATTGGGAACTGCTTCGCTTGAAATCCTGGTTTTTCAATTGCATTGGTTTGATAGAGAAGAACTAGATGTGGGAGAAGACGAAAGAAGCAACAAATTCTCAAAACTTTCAGAAGGAGATTATGAGGACGAGACTCAGTCAAATGTAAATATTTTTTCAATAGATTTTTGGAACAGATAATATTTAAACTTTCAGTTGTTTTTCTGTGTTCTACCTTTTCTTGGCAAGAACTGGTTTTAGCTCCTTTGTTACGATGTCTAACATAGTAAACCTGAATGATTTTATAGTTTGTTGCAAAATTTCAGAGAATCATGTTGTGTAAGAAGCGTGGTGAACTATTACGGCATTCAAAAGGTCGTGCATTACAGTTTTCAGTCAGTCCAGATAAGAGGATATTAATTTGTGTGGTTGGTTCTTTCTTTCATCTCTTTCTTCGTTTTAATTCACATCGTTTGAAAGAATGAAAAGTTTGGTAGATGTACCAGTTTTTTGTTTTTGAAGACTCAAAACAAGATTTCTTTTGCCGCAGACGTCTTTCAGTACTGAAACAGTGTTGAAAGGCGTCTGGTAAATTGTTTTTTAAATGTGGTTGTCCCGTAATGGTTTTGTTACTGACTGGATTATAGGATCACTAGAACAAAGACTGTCACGGTAAGACTTAAAGAAAAAGTCTAAGCAAATTTTTTCATTGGAGAATTCGATTCTGAATCTTCAAGACAAATAAATAATATAAAGATTTTTCCAAGCTAACAGTGGAAGTTTGAAGTCATTGCTTTTTTGGAAGGGAGATGTCTTTTGCCGATTATCTGTAGTTGTATATTTATAATACTCATTTTACATCGTGGTAGAAAATGTTTGATTTTAACATTCTTTCTACTTAGATTATTGTGGTTTTTTTGGTACAAGTTATCCTCTTTTTGGGGTTTTAGGACTCTAATTCTTGATGATCTTTAGGGGTCTTCTGAAATGGTTGACATTTTTCGTTTGTATAACGCGGAGGAAAGACAGAAGAGGGTTGCAAAGAAGATCAAGAAAGCTGTGAAAAGGAAGGAAGAGAGGTTCTTTTTTAAAATATTTCTTCAATAATTTATTGGTGTATTACAAACCAAAATAGGTAAGAAAGTGTGTACTTTTGTTACTTTGATGACATCAAAGTAATATTTATTTGCTGGCGTTGTAGTACTAGTATAAGCAATAGCTTTCATATAAGTTAAAGTTACTTTATAATTACATACTTTTAAAAACTGAATTTAGTGGCAGCTCTGAAAATGTGTCGCCTACAGAAATCGCGAAGGATGTTACTGTGCTCGTATCTCACATAGGAAAGCATCAGTTTGATAGTAAAGTAAAATGGATTGATTTTTGTCCAAGCGTTCAGAATAGTGGGCATAATTTGTTGACCTATAAGGTATTTTTAAAATATTTATGGCGCTGTAGTTAGAGCTGGAAATTTTAAATCTGTCTTCTCATTTTTACTTCTAATAAAATCGACTGTTGACTAATTTGTGTATTTTATTTTTTAGTTTTTTTCTCTTCTGACGAGTAACACCGTGAATAGTACATCTCTTGAGGTGGATTTGAAATTGAATATCGTGGAGTGCAAAACAGTTGCGTCACTTGACCAGGTACTACTTTACTATTTATTTAGCGTTTAATGCAGGTTACGAGTTTGGAAGTGAATTAGTTTTGTATTGAAACTTAAAGTTGGACTAACTTTTGAGTCATTCAAATCAAGGCAATAGAGGATTTATCTTCAGTTCTGTATACTAATGTATCTTGGCAAAAGAATGGGGTTTCCTTCAGGGTTTTTAATTTTTTGTTGTGCTGTAGTTTCCTGTATTTATTCTGATTCTAAACTTTAATTTCTCAGTTCCCTTTTTTCCCCTAATTTTCTGACTCTGCTAAAAAGAGTTCTCTTGCTCCATGTGGAGAAGCATGAGTTTTGTGGTTTTGCACTTTTGAGACGTTTTGAGATGTGGAGAAGTTCCTAAAATACGAAAATGCATCATCACTAGTGTTCATCTTTAGGATCGCGGAATTTTTGGCTACAAAAATGACTTAGCACTAAACGTTATTGAATGAAACATTTTTCAAAAGAGGTTAACAAATCACGAAATTTGTTTTTGACGTTGTTTTCAAAGACTATCAATGATAAACTTTGCCTTCTAAAATTTTTTTTGATTTTAGCTCGGTCATAGAAGCGACGTTCGTTGTTTAGCGAATGCTGAGAGTGACTTTGGGTTTGCATCAGGAAGTTCCGAATCCGTCCTTGTTTGGAGCAGACACAGCCTCAGTGTACGTCTTATTTGATTGTTCTTTTTTTTACGTATACTTCATTCGGTTGCAGCAAGAAATAGTTCCAGGTCGTCCATGTCTGTGAAACAGAAGAAATGAAGAACGTCACAGCATTGCTGTTTTTACCCGGCGACCGGCATATTCTAGCTGGGACTAAGGTTTTTTACTCTTTTTTTTCCTTTTTTTTTGTGTTTGTGATTTTAATTAGTCCACTTACATCAACATTGAAATTTCAGGACGGTAACATGTTTCTTTTTGAATTAGCAAGTAATGAATTGGTTCAAACTTATAAGAAGGTTCATTCAGCTGCAATTTGGAAACTAATAAACTCTCCTGATAAGGTTTTTCCTTCTGTGATATTTGCTTCTGGTTTGAAGATATAGAGGAAAAGTTTTTACTGAGATAATCTTAAGTTACAGAAGTTTTTCTTTTTTCTTTTTCGGATGGTTTCGGTAATGCATTAGTTGTTTGAATTTTAGAAGGGCTGTATATCTTGCGGTGCCGACAAGCATATTCGTTATTGGGATTACATCCTTGAACCTGAGAAGTACTTGATCACTTTTAATGTATTTTTCTTGCTTCTTCACTCTAATGCATTTTCCGAACTTCATAGTTGGTTTGACCACCTCTGTTCAATCTGGTTTTCCTCAAAAGAGCAGCTTCTTGCGTCTATTGTGACTAAATTTGCGCTTTTTTTTGTATTTGTATGATCTGATGAAGATGAGTGAGAATTTATTGGAGAAATTTTTTTAATTTTTAGGCTTTTTTATGACTTAAAATTTTTTGTTTTTCTATACCAAATAAATCTTAGAAAACATCTGGTAAAGGGGTTCTTAGATTGGTTTTTTTACCAGTTTAAAGCTTTTTAACAGAACATTTTTTGTTTTCCAATTATTTTCACAAGTGTCGGGTAACTGTTTGACACCTTTATTTTTCTTTAGGATGATCTAAACTTGTCAGTTTGCAGAAAACGTGCTGCTATTCGAGAGCGCAGGGAATTAGAGCTTCCAGATGAGGTTCTGTCTATTGCTTCGAGTAGCGACTCTCGTTTTATATCAGCAGCTTTGCTGGATAACACTGCCAGAATTTATTTTGTAGATTCCTTCAAGCTTTCGTTTACATTATATGGTCACTCGCTTCCTGTGACAACCATCGATTTCTCTCCTGTTTGTTTTATGCCGTTTTACCAGAAGAGTTTTTTAATCTAAAGTTCCTGATTCTTGTGGACTCAAAATTTTCATGGTTTTTTTAGTTCAATGTTTTCAAGAAGATTACATGAACAGTGCTTTATTTACCAAAAGATTTTTTGCTTCAGTACGGGTTACCATTTTTAAGCAAAACTTTCTTTTAGGATTCTAAACTTGTAGTAACTGGTTCTGCTGATAAAAGTGTTAGAATATGGGGCGCTGATTATGGAGACTGTCATAAACATATGCATGCTCATGACGACATGTTAGTTCATTTCTCTTATTTAAAAAAACCACCAACAGGTCGTTCAGTACATTCTTGATATAACCATAACCAAAACTGTAGCTGGGCAAGGGGAATGGGGTGCATAGAAGGAAGTCACTTTGACCTCTCAATAATTATTATTTTTCTTAAATACTTTCTGCCAAGTCTTGCTTCAATAGCTATCTCCTCTTTTGTTATGGCAACAATGTGCTCAGCGAACGTAGTCATTTTCTTAGTCATTTTTACAATGTTATCAATTCAGCATTACGATGTTTAGAGTTACTTGTGTCCAATTTGTCCCAAATGAACCGTTGTTCTGGAGTGCAGGAAAGGATGGTCTTTTGAAACAGTGGGACGCTGTGAAGTTTTATCGCATTCAAGTCTTAGAACTTCATTTTGCTGCAATTTGGTCAATTTCACAAACTGCGAGCGGTAACTTCTTGGTAAGTTGGCCAGCTAAATGTGCGCTTAAGTCTTCTAAACCTTTATTTCCTCCCAGTTAATCTTTTTTTTACTTTTTTAACTTTGTTTGTTACCAACCTAACTGTGGAATTCCCGTTTGGTTATCGGGTAAAATGTGGGATGAAAAACATTTTCCTGGGTCTGATTCGCTTAGTGTTTAGATTTACTTTTGAAGGAGGATTTGTTACTCAAGTATAGCGGAAATTTTATGGCATTACATGAAGTTTTAAAATGCCTAGATTTCTTCTTCTCATGATAAATCTATTCGAGTCTGGGAATTGACAGAGGAGATAATAGTTTTACAAGAAGAAGAAGAATTGGAGCGCGAGAAGCAGCGAGAAGAACGTCTAACATCTTTGGAGGACGTTATTCCAGGTGAAGAAGGATCTGAAAATGAAACAGGACTTGCAGCAAAAAAAAGCATGGCTAGCATCAAATCTGTAAGCTATTAACAGAATCTGAATGCTGTTTGATACCGAATTTTTTTAATGTTGTTTAAGGGAAAGGGGTTGTTGTATCACTTTTCGTTGTAGCTTTTTTTTGTAGTTTCACTTTTTAGGCTGAAGATTTAATTGAAGCGGTTGAAATCGCGCGAAAAGAAGTTTTCAAAAGGATTGACGAACCGAAGGTTTTTTATCTTCCTTTTTTCGATATTAACTTTGTTTGGAATGTTATCGTGCCCGAGTTGTCAACAAATTTTAGAGCGCACCACATCCGCTAATCACTTATTTGAAGAGCAGTTCTCTAGAACATTTCATTTTGGATGTAATCGATCGTATACCATCCAGGTATTTTTGCCACCACAGTCTTCCAGCATTAGAAAGTCTTTTTATAATTTAGGGGAGAACGCCGTTCAACCAAGCGGCGGGGAACTTTATTTCCTTAGTGCTTGTTTTGTTTACCAGCAAGTTCTGTTGGTTATCCTCCATTTATTTTTATTTTTAGCCATCTTGAAAACAGTTTACTGATGGTGCCTTTTACATTTGTTCCGGATATCCTTCGCGCAATCAACGTCTGCACTACGAAGCGCTACAAACTGGAACTTGCCTCAAAAGTTGCTCTTTTTCTGATAAAGTAAGTTTCAGTTCAGCTTACTTTTGCTTGCTGTTACAGTTTTTCGCTTTGTTTATTAGGACTGCAGCCAGCTGCTTTTTCTTTTTTTTTTTTAACAGTTTTACTATTTAGCAAAAGTATTAACAAGTAATTCAATTTTTCAAAGCTCTCATTTTAGGATTCATTTTAATTACATAACAAATTCTTTTGACATGGTGCAGATAATAGATGCCTTACGTTCTTCGCTGCGAAATGAAATCAAGGAGTTGCGGGTTTGTGGATTTTAAAATTATTCTTTTTGAGTTAATTGCAACACTTGGACGAAAAAACTCTGTGTCTTTAATTTACTTACGTTTGAATTGTTCGTAGTTTTTTCTATGCCTTACTATCTCATTGCCTTTGCAATTTCACAAATTTTTGTTTTTTAAATTTTATTATGTTTTTTACAGGGTACTGTGGCTTTTAACCTTGCGGGTCTTCGTCTTCTGCAAAAAGAAATAGAAGATTCAACTGAATCAAAAATGTTCACAGATATATCCAAATTTGCAAAGAAGTCGAAGAAAAAACTTCGAAAAGCTGTTATTCGAACTGTGGTCTAATAATCCTTCTATATTAACTTCCTTGATGTTGTTTTTGTTGTTTTAGGTTGAGGAAGGATAGTGAATAAATTCTGTTCTGGAAGGTTCAGGTTGGATAAGTGCTTAACTTTATTTAATATTTTTTAGAGTTGTAGTCTTGTTTATATTCTTGGGTCTTGTAGGGTAGCCTCAAGTTGTTATTTGGTTTGTTTTTGATCTATTTAGGATACGCCTTTTAAAAACTGTTCTCCAGCTTCGACAAGCAATTTTTTCAAAAGCTGAAGTTGTGAAGCTTTTTTGTTAAATTCTTTCTTAAGACTGTTGTTCCTGTTAGAAGTCTGGAATATTCGATGATCTCTCATTGTTGTTAGATTTTTCAGAATTATTCATTAATTGTACCGATTTTGTTGGAAAGATTCTTATTTGTGTCACTAGAAATTGTGCTAAATTAAAGCAGCGTAAAGTTCTAAGGGAAGCGTTGTTCTGACAATGTTTGTTTGGGAAAGGAAGAGAAGGGTAATTTTATTTTATTTAGATTTCACGTTTAGAAGTCGTCGGATGACAGGAAGAAACTAGCGGATGAAAATGGTTTTCTGCTGAAAGATTTTTATGTATCGTTTGTAGTAAATTTCCGAGATAAAAAACTCTATAAGGTTTTGAATAAACATTCAAATTTTCTGTAAGGAGAGCGTCTGTGTTAATCAGGTCTTAATTTGGGCTCAGCGGATTTACTACCGATTTTGCAGTTTGACTGAAGTTCAAGTAGATATTATAACTTTTGTTTTCTTTTAATTCTATTAATGTTAAGTTGATTGAGTTCATATGAGTTCTTCGTTTGTAGAGATTCTGTAATTGACTTATTGTATAAAACTGTTAATTTTTGGATTGAGCTTGCAGAAATGGGGGGCGAGTTCTGCAGCGGAGAAGGAAGTTGATAAGTGCGGTAATGTACATATTTTTGTCTAGATTTGAGTGACAACTTTCATGGATTATCGCTTTGTTTGCTGTATTCTTGAACTGCGCAGAAAATATGATACTCAAACAGAGGTTTTGAGATAATTAATAACTTATACTTGTTGTCTTTAGTTTTATTATGGAGTTTGGTCGGCCAAGAATATCGAGCTTTCCAAGTTTTCAACTTACTTCGCTAGAAACATTTTTAAAGTTTAGCATTTGCTTGAGTGGCGGCTCATCACAAGCCTTGAAGGTCTTCTGCTTGTTCGACTTAAATGTAGCTTACTAAATTTCAAGGTTCACTGTGATGTTAAGTGTGTTCTTTATATGGAGTGCACTGGAATTAGTATTCTTTCAAACTAATTCCTTGTTGTTTATAATGATATATTTATAAACATGACACTGTTGAAACATTTTTCAGGTGGTGTCCTCTGTACTTTCTTTGTTTATTTATGATGGCACTTTAGGAGGGGAGATAAGATTCTTGACAACTGTTTAAAAAAATGTGCTT